CGCTGTTCTTTACAGAATTGTTTTAATTCAGCCACATGGAGGTTTCTGAGCAGGAGCAGCCTGTTTAAGGTCACAGCATCTCAATCCTATTTGAGTCTGGACTTAAATGAGGCAACTTCAAAACTTTCATTTTTTTATTTTTGGCCGCTCAGAGATGGGTTTGCTGCTGTGTTTCTGATCTTGCTGGTCCTGCTGCGTAAGTGTGCTTGAGCTTCAGGGCTTGAACTGATAGCCTGACAGATTTCATGGTTCTATCTATTATCATGAGTCTTCTACGTCCTGAAGCGGCAAAGCAGCCCCAGAGCTTCCACACTACTACCACCATGTTTGATTGCTGGTTTGATGGTCTCTCTTTCTGAAATGCTTTGTTACTTTTTAACAGGACTCGGGTCTTTCAGAGAGTTCAGCTTTTGTCCACAGAACATTTCCCTCAAAGTCGTGGGAATCGTCAAGATGTTGTTTGGCAAAAGTGTGACGAGTGTGATTTTTGGTCACAGTGGTTTCCTCTGACCAATGGCCATGCCATGAACTCTGACCTTAACTGAGGCAAGTGCAGCCTGCAGTTCTTTAGATGCCGTTCTGAGGTCTTTTGTCACCTCCTGGATGAGTTGTTCATGTGTTCTTGGAGTATTTTTGGTCGGCCGGCCACTCCTGAGAAGTGCTCACAGTTTTCTCCATTTGTGGGTATTCATACTCTCCACATGCCTTAGAAATGGCTTCGCAATCCTTTCATTGATAGATGTCAACGATTGTTAAAATCACAGTTCTAAACCCTTTTCCAACTTCACTCCACCAGCATGCATCATATCCTGTCAATTTATGGGGCACATCCAGCTTTTTTTTTTTACCTCCTTACCAACAGACTGAGAACAAAGTACCTGTGAGTTAGGAGGACTCACTTCACCTGAATGTACTGTTGTGTTACATTAGAGCTCTGCATCATTAACTTTAAAGAAATGAAAATGCTAAGAAGGTGGATGCCGATGTTATCGTAATTTCAGGAGCATGATAACACCGTGAGTTAGTTTGGTCCATAACTATGATTGTTGGTTCTTATTTAAATGTATCTATCCATCCATTAATCCACGCATTCACCCTCCATCTGTTAAATCTAATAAAGCAGCATTATTGTAATAAACCTTCTAAATGTGCAGAGCACATCAGATGTTCTGTGAGCCACATCACCAACAGTGTCATTTTTTCTGACCACTTCTCAGCTGTTTCTTTCGATCGTGGTACGATGTGTCACTTTATGAGATCTTCTAAGTTTGTCAGATAACTTCTATTTTAGTGATTTCCTGATTAAACATGTATAACAGTAATAAGGTCCGAGTGCGTTTAGTGTAACTGAACTCAGCTTTATAACAACTGTCGTTAATCACATTTAATAATTTAACAAGGGGGGGAATTACTCTTTCACACATGTAAAGAAATGTAATCACCAGTTTAGTTACTCAGGTTATCTTTGCCTTTTTTTTGATTATCTGAAAAATAAAGTGTAACAAATGAGCATAAAGAAAGAAAGAAATGAAAGAAATCAGGAAAAGGACAAACAGTTTTTCACAGCACTGTATTTGTAATCAGTGTTTCATTAGATATGATAAATGAGGTAAAACTAAAAAGATCCATAACTCCATAAAAACTAAAGAAATGTGCAACGATCGTCTGCTTGGTAGTGACGTGCAGGGTTTTTGTTTTGGTGGTCGCAGAACTGAAGCAATCAAAATAAATATTTTTAAGCTGATAATGCAGGACTCAGTCAGACCTCAGGGATTCTCTCCTGCATGGTCTCAACACACGACTATAAAGGACATTAACAGGCTCTAGTCCTGCAGCTCCAACACTCAGCAGGTCGTTTTCCACCTGCTCAGGTAGAAAAGCCTCAGAGGCTGAGCAAGAGGAACATGATCTGACTGACAAGGCAGATTTTTTTACTGACTGGCGTTTGCTAGAAGGGTCAAAAAGGTCATCGATCACCATGACGCCATGCACCGAGCTTCACAGCTTTTACCATCAGCTGCTTGTAAAAATGTGAGTTTTGAGCTCACTTCCGGGTGAAAATTACTCATTCTGCCTCACAGCATATGGTGTGTGTGTGTGTGTGTGTGTGTTTGTATTACATACGTCAATTAGATGTTTGACTTCCTGTTTCTTGAGGTCACTGCTGATCTTAGCTGCCAATAGGATGCATGCAGCTGAGACCAACTTCCTGTGAACAACAGCAACAGTTACGTAACTGACGGGACATCAGGCCACAGAGAAAAGGCAGAGTAACAATGTAACAATGCAGACTGCTCGCTCTCTGGACAACATTTATTCTTAAAAGAATTATTGTCTTAGTTTGTTTGAAATAATGTATCAAGTCTTTATCAGGTGTTTTCTATGCGTTAACAATCAGTTTCTAATTATAAGACTTGTTGTCAGTTTTTCACTGAATCAGTCATCAGTTAGATCTTAAAGACCTTGAGTTGAAAGTAAACATACTCTATAAAATAACTATAAATGTCACTGTGATGATGCACACACTGCAATAATAATTGTGAGGACAGTGAGGACTTGAAGTTCAGTGCATCACAATCAAAGAATACAAACCATCAGCAACAGTGAAAAGTTTTTATTTTAAACCGAGCTTACTGAAAATAAACACAAGGGGGAGCCACTTCCACACCTCACACTGTGGACTCGACACAGAAAACTGCAGCACATCCACCTTTTAAGCTATCAAACAAATCTTGTTTTACGTTTTCTAACAGGAACACAACGTGATGAAGTCTTGAACCAATCAGATTTTCGACCTGAGACTAATTAAGGTGCAGAATCACTTATAATAACAATAAACAGAGCTAAACAGTCGTCATTAACCAACATTTCAAGCAGAGCGTGAAGCCTATGAGCGAAGCAGAAACCGATGACGAGCTGTTTACATGCGGACGAGATTCGAACAAACCTGTTCTGCTTGTTGAGGCGCCCCTGCAGCACCAGCTTTTCAAAGTAGACGTATGCCATCGCGAGGGTGACGGGCTGCAGGCCGCAGTCCTCCCCGACTATTCTCATCTCTCTCTTTAGGCTGAAAAAGAAATAAAGCATATTCTAATCATTTAATACTCCCTTTTCACATATCTGTGTAGGTTCTTAGTCATCCAGGTCATGGTAATCTAAGGAGCGACTGGACTGCTTTAAGTTTCTTTAAGATGTTTCATGTCTCATCCCATGAGCTCCTTCAGCTCTAAGACCAAGTGGGGATCCAGTCGCCCCTTTTCACATTACTGTGCTGAAAACCTTTCATTGGCAGAAATGAGAAACGTTACCTTCGGATTTTGCTGAGGGTGAGTTTAATGTGAGGAAACTTCTCCTTAAAAGTCTCGTTCATATCTTTCTTCAGATCAGACGGTTTGACATATTCTATAACCGTCGTCTGCAGGATAGAAGAACAAAGAGAAAAAGAGCAAAAGAAAATGAACCAAACCAGAACAATAAGGAGTGGAAGTATGCATAAACAGATCACAGAACACATTTAACTGTAAGCAGAGACAATGAGAAGTCAAACAGTTTGTCAGTGAACGTAAATAATCTGATGAGGACGTAAACACCGACGGGTAAATATTTCTTTCTGTGACTCATTGTTGCAAAGATGGCACTATTTCTCATGCAGGGAAACTCATTCATGCTTTAGTTTACAGTCTTTCCAGGTATTGTGATGACTGTTCGCAGGAGGATCCAATAACCTCATCAAATCTGTTCCAAAAAAGCTGCACTCACTTTACACACTAAATAAAAGTCAAACTCCCTGCTGATTATTTTTAAACCTAACAACGACGCGAGCTTTGGTTCCACTGAGTCGGTCCGTCTCTCTGTCTGTCCTGTTATGGACAGATCACCTGGTCACTGTGTAGCCAAAACACACAGTCGAAGCCCCACCCCAACTGATTTCTTTAAGCAGTTAAGAAAATGGATTGATGGCTCAATACTTCGACGTATTAGATCACATCGATCTTATAGAAATCCAATATTGCCACACAGCATTCCTGCGTTTTCACTAATAGCCTCAAACACCCAAAGGCAGCTCTGCTCTCTCTCCAGTGGATTCGTTTTATTTTGCAAACTTAAGAGGGCTCCTTTAACCACATATTGCATGTTTACAACTTTCATTATTTCAATGGCACACAACTCAACTGCTGACCTTTCACCTGCAAAACTTAAGTGAAGAAACAGACACACCTTTCCATGAAACAGCTTTTAAGTCACCAGCATTAAGAGGTGACAGTGAAGAGCTGCAGGTTCCTCAACAGTTTCTTTACAGCTCAACTCAGTTTAGACCTTAATCCTGATATTTGGTCACATACACGCTCATGTCAACACTTCCAAGGCCTAATTTAATGGAGAGAAGCCTGCAAGATAATCCTGGCAGACAGCCTGATCTAAACCTTATCATACGCAGGTAACATGCACCGTTTCCATGTAACGCACCAAACTGGTGTGGGTGGGGGGTGTTTTGTAGTTTAGGCGACATTGACAGTAGGTGGTGAAATCACACTGTGTAATACTAACACACACACACGCTCGCAGTAAGCTCAGTGAAAAGCAGCTCACCTCAGCTGTAATCGTCTCATGAATTAAACACTGTGATACAGTGTGTGTGTGTGTGT